CTAAACCAGCAGTCAGACATCCTTCTCGCAATTTGGGACCGCTGGCTCCTCACCGCTCACCTGCCTGGTCACCCCTAACCTCTCTGCCTGCCTGCCTGATTGCCCCTAACTGCCCTCCCCTGCCGGCCTGGTCTCCCCTAACCGCCTCTGCCTCGGCCCCTGCCACCGTGGCTTTGTCTGGAAGATGTCTGGTGTAATTAGCATATTACCCTTTTAATAGTATAGATAATTTAGACACCACCAGCCCACCCTCCTTTTTAAATATTATCCAATGCTTTCTTACTATCTTAGCTTTGTTTTACTAGTCAATTTGAAGTGTATGAGAGAATTGGAAAACTTCCTACAATTTTATCTATCCACTTGTGTTTCTCTGGAAATGTAATCTCCATGGATATTTGTTTTCCTTTGATCACACTAACATTTTATCTGACTGCCAGCCCTGTGAAATATGTTGTCATCTACAAATTAAAACTGAAAAGTTTAAGTATTAGGTTAAATCAAGCCATAATAATCAGTAAATATAAAACCAATAAAACAAACAAAAACAAATTTAAAAGGCAGATTAATTGCCTCTACATTTTTCCTTTTAAGGTTACATTGCACCATGGAGTGGCAGGTTTTACTCCTTGTGGGACACTGGGTAAGTGCAGATAAGTTATTTGCCCTCATTAAAATACCATTCCCCTCCCCCCCCTGTTCTTCTATTGTCAGCATCACCATCAGTCTTGGGTAACATTTTAAAAGTATCTAACTTATACTAGTTTAGTAAGTGTTGATTGGAATCCCTTGTATTTTTTCTTTGTTATAATACCTACTTGGAATGCACCTTTAGTATGATATGCATGACATGTATTTTGATTCTGCATGGACAACTCCTTATTTTAGTTTGGTCAAAACATTTCAGATAACATTTGTGCAATTTTAATGATTGATTTTTATTTTTACCAATGTATTCAAAGTTTCCATCTATTAGTATTTACTTTTTAATCATTAAGGCTCATGTACTGTATATGTGAAGAAAAAATTTTAATGTTTTTTAATGCCGCACTAAGTTTCTTGATATTTTAATTTATTACATATACTACAGAATATTTGTGTGCTTTTAAGAGTGCTATTATAAAATGAAATAGTTTAGAAGTTAATTTTAAATTACACAACTAGTTCAATAAGATGTTTTTGTTTTCCTGAGGATGAGAAAATATCCTTTGATTATAATTTACCTGTCTTCTCTGTTTTCACTGTTCTATCTTCTTTGTTACTCCCTAAATGGCCCAATAAAAAACCTATCACAGTTTATTGAATGGGCCTTCCCATTGATGTGATACCAGAAGGTCTAATTAAAGGGCATAAGCAAATATATACTAATAACTGAAACTAACATTTGGACACATAATTGAAGAGATCAGCCAATGGACCCCAAAGAGTTTGAGGAAAATCTTCAATAATTAGATAAATTTTTGTCAGTAATATTTATTCTTACTTTCTAAACTTTAATGAACTACTTTGAAATCTCAGGGCATTTCAAGAATAATTTGTCCTGTCCTTTCTATTTCTCTCATTGCCTTGCTAAGAAAAGTATTGTAGCAATATGATATCTTATTTTTGCTAGTAATAATAAGTCTAAAAGGTAGTGAGATGTAGGAGGTGCTAAGTTATAATGCAGAATAAATTCCTGTTTGAGCAAAGATTTTTGTATTAAAAGTCAGAGCCAACACTTTTATAATATAACTAGCCTTAGATAATTCTCCTAATTTTAGGGATGACATATTAGTTTGTTTTATCAATGTGGACCAGATTTATAATACAACAGGTTATGTTGGAATATACTTATGAGTGACAAGAGATAGAAGATAGAAATTTTATCTGCAGTGAAAGAAAATTTTTCCATCAAAAAGGATTTTATTTAATATTAACTTTTTTAAATTCCAGGTATGCAAAAATACATATTCCAATTATTGCATCAGTGTCTGAGCATCAACCTACGACTTGGGTGTCTTTCTTCTTTGATCTACATATTCTTGTGTGTACCTTCCCAGCAGGCCTATGGTTCTGCATTAAAAATATCAACGATGAAAGAGTGTTTGGTAAGAAATTTTTAATAAATACTTAGCTTTAGAACAATTATTTTCATTATTGACATCACTTCACTTTAAAGTTTTATTCTTTGCATGACTGCATAGTTAGGATAAATTTCTTGCATAAATTTTGAGCACGAAAAACCCAGTGAATTTATTATATGTATTTTATTAACTTTTAATTTAGGACATAACATTTTCATTCAATTTACTACATTTTCTGGGAGGTTATTATAGTCTGTGGCTAAGAATTGGAAATTATAACTTTGCTTACAGTATAGTCTTGATTTAATTTTCTAAGATCTGATTAAGTAGAAAAAAGTTTGCAGGGGTGACCATCATTGAAATTTCAGTGCAAAGTACATTTTGTAATGGAATAAGAATCACCTTTAAGCAAACACCCTCTTCACTGATAGATTTGTGTAAATTTTCAACTAATAAACTGAAAAAAGCAACATACACAAAAATAATCTGTAGTACCGGGACTTGAATTTATACAAGTATGCATCTTGGACTATGAGTGATACTCAAGGTACTATTCCAGAATGAAGTAGGAGGAAAATAAAACACCTGCATGAGTTCTAACCAAAGGATGACACTCATTCTTCTTGTTTATGTAGACCAATCCCTCTGGAAAAGGCCATAATAATATTGCATCATTCAAAAAAGATTTAGCTTAAACATATTGCCCACCTCATGACTCAGCAATCCTAATCCCAAGAGAAGTGAGTGTATATGTCCAACAAAGGACATGTTTAATAATGCAACTTTATTCAGAATAACCCCTAATTAGAAACATTCCAAAGGTTATTAGCGGTAGAATAGAAAAAGAAATTCCGATGTATTCGTACAATGGAATGCAACAACACAGCTATTAATAAAAGGATAATAGCATGGGTTAACCTAGAAAGCCAATACAAAAAAGAACATTTTTATGTAATTTTAAAAATAAAGTTCAAGAATAAGAAAATTAAATTAATGCTTTAAAAGTCCAAATAGTGATTACTTTTTTTTTATAGGCAGGGAGCGGGGAGAGCAGTTATTGACTGAGAAGAGGTATGAGGGGATCCTTCTGAGGAAGCTCTATATTTTGATACTAGAGGCCCAGTGCACAAAATTTGTGCAGGGGGGGAGGCATGCCTCAGCCCAGCCTGCGCCCTCTTGCGATCCAGGAGCCCTTGGGGGATGGCTGACCGATGGCTTAGGCCCATAGCCTTAGCACTGCCGTGGAGGCAGGAGAGGCTCCCCAGCCTTAAGCTCGGCTCTGGGCTTCTGGCTGAGCAGCTCTCCCCCTATGGGAACGCACTGACTACCAGGGGCAGCTCCTGCATTGGTCGTCTGCCCCTGTGGTCAATGCGTTGTTCCAACGTTTGGTCGATTTGCATATTAGCCATTTATTACATAGTATGAGTGATAATTCCATAGGTATGCACATATGTAAAATTTATTGAGATATACAGTATGAACATGGTATAATTTTTTAGTGAGAAAATGAAATTTTAATTAACCTTAACTTGAGAATAGGAGTTCAAATCACTCATTGACTTTATGAATTTATATAGCCTTCAGCCTGAAATGGTAGAGCCTTCCTGATGGTTAGCACATTATGTGGAAGGCTTTGGCTTTTGGAAAATACTTTGGAATTTTTTAAAAAGTCTCTTACTAGTAACAAGTTCCTCCTTGGGCTAATAAATTATATTCTCCTCATCCTGTTTTTACTTTAGAGCAAGCTTTATGCCAGATATTGGCACTAGCTTTTCACAGACTTTATTTGATTCTATAAACTTACTCTGCCTAATAATATAATTCCTCAAATATGTTTTCATCCATCAACTATGGATTTTCTAATATGTGATGATATTGACAATGAATTTGTCTCATTTCCCATAACTATAATTACTATAATTAAATTTTAAATCGTGATACATTTCTCTAAATTGTTGATATATAGTGTCTAGTTAGCATTAGCTATAATTTCTAAATATGACTATTAAATCATTTGGTTGGTATTATCAATTTAAAAACAATTAACTCTTTTATGAGATGTCTGTTTTTAGATTTGGTTTATAATGTGGTATAAAATACTTAGATCAGTCTCCTGCGAACATTTTCTTTTCTGAAGTGTTACAAGAGAGCTTGTCTTTCCAGTTGCTCTGTATGCCATCAGTGCTGTCTACTTTGCTGGAGTGATGGTGCGGCTGATGTTGACTTTGACTCCTGTCGTTTGTATGCTGTCTGCAATTGCCTTCTCTAATGTTTTTGAGCACTATTTGGGGGATGACATGAAAAGGGAAAACCCACCTGTGGAGGACAGCAGTGATGAGGATGACAAAAGAAACCCAGGAAATTTGTATGATAAGGTGGGGAATCTAAAGTAAGGCCTTTAAAATTTTCATGTGCTTTATTTTTCTACCACAGTAAGAACTATTAATATTAAGAAATGTGATTAAATAGGATTTAGACAAACTGACATTTCTAGTTGGTCTCTATTGTTTGCCTAAAACTTTGAATCCTGCTTGGTCTTTTAGGTAGAATAAGAAAGTAGAATGCAACCAGAGTAGGAATTCTCATTTCATTTTGGTCAAGTTTTACCTAAAATCCCTCTATTTTTGAGAGCAAAAACGTAGTGGCCTACTAAGTTACATAACATTGAGCATTATAAACCCCATTGAAACCATGTGCACAAATGCTTATCTTTGAGATCCATGTTCAGTGTAAACTTGAAACCTTTTTTTTGTTTTTGTTTTGTTTTGTTTTGTTTTGTTTTGTTTTGTTTTGTTTTGGTGTACTGGATGATGCTCCAGTGAACTGAGTCACCCAGCAAGGGCATGTAATTTACTTTTACTTTTAACCTGTCGGATTAAGTAAAGAACAAGGTCATATTTGTTGCAAATGTGGAAAAGACTTGTAAGAATTGGAGCACTAATACTTACCTGACAGGGGAGATACCGTGATCAGGAAGGTGGTTTTCCCAGGGCAAGGCTTATCCACCGTACTCTGGATGTGCTGACCCCTGCAATTCCCCCAAATGTGGGAGATTTGACTGCATAATTTGTGGTAATGGCGGACTTCGTTCCCACTCTCCCCTGAAAAAAATAAAAAAAGGGATTAGAGCGCTTGTCTTAGATGACATACTAAACTTCATTTGAATATTAACTAGGTTTTTAAATACCAGTAAGCAATGAAATTTTCCAGGATAAGTATTAACTTTGAAAAGCTTTCCTTACTACATAGGCCATTAGCGGTAGTAAGGAAAAGAAATTCATACAGATTTATTTTAATACAGCACATACCTACTTTTGTGTTTGTGGTTATGTTTTATTTTGTGGTTTCTTAACTAGCCTAGCAATGTAGAACTTATGACTCTGTTCAGTTTTCTGTTCTGGTTTTTTGGTGGTGGTGGTTGTAGTTTTAAAAATGTAATCTTAATTTTAATATGTCTGTTGGTTTTGGGGTTTGGAAATTGGAAGGTTGATTCTGATAACGCTGTTTTTGTCTTATACTAAAGTTCTACATAGTCTGGATTACAGTTGGACAGTTTCGTTTTCAGAATGAGGAATTTGGATTTTGTAAGAAAAGCTTGCTAGAATGAGGCCATTTGGTTATCTCCTTTGTACATACATAAAACATAAGGATACTCGGTTTGACAGCAGCTTCTTACTGGAGATATTTTGGCCTGTGACCAGCTCCTGAATTGGGTATAGTTCCAGGAAACCACTTCATTCACATTTAGTTTGAGAATCTACCTTGCTAATTTTTAGAAAATTTATCACTCGCTCAAGAATACCTGATGGTTATACATTTTTTCCCCTCAGAGGATTAAATTGACAGATTAACATTCTCCCAACTTTTCTTGAATGTCTCGATGAAACCAGTGAAATGATGAATTTGTCTAACCAGTTTTTTGTATCTTCAGGCAGGTAAAGTGAGGAAGCATGTAACTGAACAGGAAAAAACTGAAGAGGGATTAGGTCCTAATATAAAAAGCATTGTCACCATGTTGATGCTGATGCTGTTGATGATGTTTGCAGTCCACTGTACCTGGGTCACAAGCAATGCCTATTCTAGTCCAAGTGTGGTCCTGGCCTCTTACAATCATGATGGGTAAGAAAATAACTTGGCTACAAAATGATTTTATACCTATGCCTTTTTTTCTGTCTCAGTGGTTAAGAATTAAAAAATAGAATGTTTGTGAGGCTCTGCATTTGAATCTACCATGTTTTCCATACAGCCTTTCTTCTCACCCTCCCCTCCCACCACATGTGGGTAGTAATCATTGTATTTCATGCTCTTGTCCAGAATGTCTTTGCATTCATAACATGTATATTAGTTTTTCTCAAAATGTGGTCCTTGGACATACAATAAGTTCTCACTTAACATCATGGATAGGATCTGTGACTAAACAAAACTACATATAATGAAACCAACTTTACCATAGGCTAAATGAACAAGAGTTCTATTCCTATAACATTGATGAGACATAACATAAGGATTGTTATTCAAGGACTTGCTATACAGCAACATCATTACCAGGAAGCCTGTTAGAAATGCAAATTCTTGACCCCTCGGAAAGCCTATTGAATCAGAAACCTAGAGGTGGAGCTCAGCAATCTCTGATTTAATAAGCCCTCTAGGTGGTTATGATGCAGCTGAAATTGAAGAAGAGATCATTTATATATTGCCACACCAGATTCTGCTTCATTTGGGTGCTCGTTAGACTTGCAAAATATCAGGCCCCACCCCAGAACTACTAAATCAGAATCTGTTTCTTTACAAGATACCCAGGAGATTTGCGTGCCTATTAAAGTTTAAAAAGCATTAGCTCTTCACTGATCTCTTCCCAACCCCCATTTTTTGAGGCTTTTAAAGACTGCCCTTAGAATGTGAGATTAATTCAATGGTTGAACCCCTCAAGATTTTAAGTTACTCTCTTCACATTTATAAGATCTCATTTAAAAGAATATTGTGATTCTTTTCAGCACCAGGAATATCTTAGATGATTTTAGAGAAGCTTACTTTTGGCTAAGGCAAAATACAGATGAACATGCCCGAGTGATGTCTTGGTGGGATTATGGCTATCAGATAGCCGGAATGGCTAATAGAACTACTTTGGTGGATAATAATACCTGGAATAACAGCCACATAGCACTGGTAAGAATTCAATAAACAATACATCAAAGTTACAAATTTTTATCACTTAGCAATCAGGCTTTACTTGTAATTAAGAAGGATAAATGGAGGTGAGTGTACTCTTTGCTTGCAGAATTCTCAAAATTTCTCTTTATACAATTCATTCCATGAAGTGGGTTCAGGTTGTGCATATTTACTTATTTAAGTATCATTCAGAATTGTAAGCTGATTTCTGGCAGATCTCATATCTTATGAGAATTAGGCAAAATCTGAAACTTTTTTTATTTTTTCCAACACCAAAAATCTGAAACTTTTAAAACACTAAATTTGACTTGTATTTTCCATTTTATAAATTAAGATAGTTATTTGCAAATATGTAAAAGAAATGCACTGTATTCAGGGAATGTTCACTCTGTTAACCAATTTACCTAAATTAAGGTAATCATCTCTCTGTTTTTTAAAGATTTTAAATCAGTAGTGGATATTAACCAAATGAGTTTTACTTGTAATAGTGTTATAGTTAATTATCAAATGTCTGGTAGACTAAGGAGAAGAATATATTTGTGCTGGCTAGATTGGTAGTCATACCTGGCTTTGAGGTAATGAGAAGTTCTATTTCTTTTAAGCTTGCCTGCTTTTATACTAAAATGTTAATTTCATGAAATAATTAGCAAAATATTAAAACATGTATTCTGATTTTGACATTTTTGCTATACCTTATAGGGAGTGAGGTGCTTCTAAATCTCAGTAAATTTGTTGAATTCATAGCAAATCATTTCTTTAAAAAGAATTCCATGTAAATCAGATTCTTGACATTCCTTCATAAGGTAAAAATGTGCATTTCTTTTTTAGCATATTATGAGGCTAAGTATACACATTCTCATTTTTTTCTGTAGGTGGGAAAAGCTATGTCTTCAAATGAAACAGCAGCCTATAAAATCATGAGGAGTCTGGATGTAGATTATGTTTTGGTTATTTTTGGAGGGGTTATTGGCTATTCTGGTGATGACATCAACAAGTTCCTCTGGATGGTTAGGATAGCTGAAGGGGAACATCCAAAAGACATTCGGGTAAGGAACGGTTAGTTCAGGTGTTTTAAGACAGCTCTCAAGTCCAAGTAATTCTCTTATTTTGCTACCTGCATAGTATTTGTTTTCATTATTTTATTCCCAAGTTTAGACTCTCACTCTGAATTTACTATGAAGATACTATAAGCACTTTCCCAATTTTAAACCTTTCGAAATTTGTACTTGATATTTCTGTTCTCCAAAGCAATCTTTTGTCAAGACTTTTGCTTTGACTCCTTCACAGCCTTTGCAGTTCTGCCCTTTCTTTCCATTTCCATTGTTTCCACTCTGTTACTGACCCTTATGATCATAAACCTGAAATAGAACAGTGACCTTGAAATTGCTATCCACCACTTGCGTCTGTAGACGCTTATGGCATACAAATGGTTAAATGATGAAGGCCCCTTAGATTCCCTCTCCCAGCCTAACATGACATCGATCATGTCACTTTACAGTTTAAAAGCCTTTGATTGATTAAGGAAAAGGGCCTTAAAACCAAAGACAGACATCAGAACTAAAACCCTGCCACTGTCAGCTCGGTGCTATGAGCAAGTTATTGTTCACCAATCAGTATTACATGCTTTGAGCACTAGGTCTTGTTCTAGGTTCTGATAGTATAATGGTGATTAAGCCAGCCTCAGATTATCACTAATGGGTATGCCAGGAATAATTCATTTGTAATGCTGTTTTGAGACTTTGTAGTAATGTAGGTGAAGCCTCAGCCTAGTGGCTGGTACATAATAATCTCTGTAATTAGGTCATGGTATAAAATCCAAGCTCCTTAATACACTTTGCTTTGCTGGCCTCTTGTCCCTCTATCATCTTTCCCCCCCACTCTGTCAGTCTACTTCATTCAGTCAGTCTTTTCAAGCTGTCTTGAAACTTGCCCTGTGGTTTCTTTCCTTGACTCATCTAACACGTGGTGTTTATACTCTTCTTTCTTCTGGGATAGCTTCCCTATCACAGATTTGTCCCCCCTCTAGAAGCTCTTCTCTAGCATAACCATGTGTACTCACCATCAAAATCACACACAGCTTGTTTTGTAGGTAGATTCTATCATATCTCTCCTACTCATTTGTGAGCTCTTGGAAGATGGGCACCCAGCAAGTGGTTTAACCAGTTAACTGTCACGATATTTTCAATTTAAAATAAAAAGATCCGCCACTTGCGTCTGTAGACACTTACGGCGTACAAATGGTTAAATGATGAAGGCCCAAAAGATGAGATTGAGATTCACCACTGATCCAGAATAAAAGAACCTTTTGGGAGAATTTATGCATGTGTGTCATGTAAAGTCCCACATTTCCTGTTTAAGTGTAAATGCTGTAACATTTCCCCTAAACTGATTAATAAATATTTCCTTGTATTACACTAATCTTGATTTAATTTTTCAGTATGTGATTTTCATTTGTATTTCCTTTAGCAGTGTTAATATTATGACATGTGATGGATCCAGATATATGCTTTGAACATTTATATAGAAATTCTAAATTTCTGTGCTTTTTATATTCAGTATTTTTTTCAAAATATATTTTATTGATTCTCTACTGAGAGGAAGGAAGAGGGACAGAGAATCAGAAACATCGATGAGAGAGAAACATCGATCAGCCGCCTCCTGCATACCCCCAGTGCCCGCAACCAAGGTACATGCCCCTGACCGGAATCGAACCTGGGACCCTTCAGTCCACAGGCCGATGCTCTATCCACTGAGCCAAACCGGTCAGGGCAATTTATTCAGTATTTTTAAAGTTTGTGAGTAGGTAATACAGTAACATGGTTCAAAAGTAAAATGTAAAGGGCTATACAGTATAACTTTACCAACCTCCACCACTCCCCCTGAAAAGAAAAAAAGCCCATGGCAATCACTTATTATTTTCTTACGCTTCTTATTC